GTTTTCTGGGCCTACTTACCTATAAAATTAACTGTTATAAGAATTTAGTTGTTAGAATCTGACCTTCACACACCAGAACCTCCACTAAGACAGTGAATGTATACACCATAGTAATAACCTGTGTAATCCAAAAAGTATATGGGAACTTGGATTTAGTTTAGTTTCACACAGGCTTGGAGGATTGACTTACAAAATTTCAGAATACATATGACTCTCTAGAGACTTTGTGGATTCTATCTAGTACCCCACTTATAGAAATCCCATATTTGGGTCTAGGATGACGCCTGGAAGTCAGCATATCACCAGTAAACAGTGATTTTTGTAATTGACTTTGATTTGTTTAATAGTAAAGCTTACCAACTCCAAGTACAGGGAACCTCATAATCTTAACAAATCTCCAAAACAACAAAACACACTTAAAAATCAGTAAGGTCAAAGAACGGTTTCCAAATTAGATGGGAATGAACAGCAGCCAGGTTGGTGCTGTCTTCAGACTCAGTGTGATGGTGGTATTTTCTTGGTCAGGTGCCGTGTATGGCATTTTCTTTTGTCCTTCTAAGTCAGGAGAGAGGAGATAATGTTTTGTCATACAGCTTTGAGTCTTTGATAGATAACTGCTTTCTCCCCTTGATGGGATCTGGTGAGACTTATTTGCACAGATCCCCTGTCCTTTGATAGCCAGGCACATCAGGGTAGTCTTGAGGCCCCTGCAGCAGCAGGGACTAATGATTCTACCCCACTAGTCCCATTGTGGGCCATGGTGTTATTCTCTTTAACTCCATTTGTGCTGCATGTCAGTGCGGAATAACTTTCTTTGTGCTGTTCTGTTCCTCCTATAGAGTACACTGTTCTCTGTCACCATTTAATGCCCCTTCTTGTGATTTATATATATATATTACCCCTTTATAAATAATAGTTGTCATTACAGTAGAGAGGGGGCCCATTGTCAATGTACCTTGGAGCAGGTAATTAAATAATAAAATTCCGTCTAAGCTCTTCATCTGTAGGATAAGACAGAGACCTGCTTTGTTGCCCTCAGGTTTGTTTTTAGTATCTATTGAGAAAATAGCTGTGAATAGTATATGGAAGCTTTTCATTATTAGATGTCTCCTAAGTGCATTATGTTTACATGGCACCTAACAAATACAGCAAGCCATGGGTCTTTAATCTGAGTTCTGTCATTTTATAATCCTGAATGTGACACCATCTCCAAAAAATATTGGTAATAGAACAGGGAAGAGTCAAGTCCATAAATGTATTAGGTGTGTACATTTAATACTGACCAACTCATTTGCTGGTGTCTATTAAGAGTGGACTAGACAGTGTAATGAAACTCCCTATTACATTTCATGTAAAGGTCAGGAGTTTCATTGATACAACCTGCTTGATCCAGAGTCAGGTGGAAGAAAGTCATATTGTTTATCTGTAGTGAGTAGACTGTATGGAATAGCCTTCCAGAGATGATATGTGGTGATCCAAATAGGATGTAGCAGATATTCTCTCAAGCCTTAAACTTGAAAGAACAATGCCTTTTCCTGATCCCCATAGTCTTTAGCATTGTGCCCCTGATAGTGACGATGTGTATTTTCTTTTCACGTTCTTCTGAGGCAGTGTGAAGAAGGACCATTTGTTATAGCTAGTGCAATACCAGGGGAGTATGATGGTGGGAATTGGGTGGCTGTCCCGAGGGTGCAACTGACCTTTTTAGTCTTAGCCTACCCTGAGAGGGCAGTCATTAATACATTCTTTCTTTGTTGAGGAAATCACAATTTTTTTCCTTTATAAAACTCTTCATATAATTTTGCACGATTACATGCATATTAACATTCATCTATTCAGCCCTGGCTTTGCTTTTTTTCCTCAAACTGTTTTGCTGGCCATTTTGGTTCCTTTACACAAACATGGGGCATCTCAGGAGATTATTACTTCTGTTAGTTTCAAATTTGAAGTTTTTCCACCTTTAAAAAAGTAATTCAAGAATTATCACCGCACTGTGTCATTTTTTTCTGAATATATGCTTTGGACTTAAATTGACTAGATTTGAGGTTCTTACAAGCTGAATTAGGGAGAAAAAACACTAATGGGTCTCTGGTGGGAGTAGAAAGAGGAAGACCCTGCTGAATGTCTGCTCTTTGCCAGGACTGATTACCAGGGTTTAGTGTATGCCCTGCATTTTATTTATAGCTTGTCTTATTCTAGAAAAGTATCTTAACCATTTGGTGATCCTAGGAAGTATGTAGAAGTATCTTTCCCAAGGAAATACAGGAACGAGGCTATAGTAGAGGAATGAGAGCCCAGGGCTGCCTCAATGTCACATTTATTTATCACAGTACAGTAACTTGTTTCTTAGAAAGGAGGGTGACAGAATTAAATTCAAAATGGATCTCATTTTGGAAGACTTGATATATGTTAGTGAAGACCTTTGCATGGTTTGTTGTCTGACACAAAATAATTGATTAATTGTTAGGTCTTGAGTCTATAACCCCTCAGTAAGGAAAACTCAGGCTCTGTATAAAGCAAATACAGTGTCACAACACTCAGCTTTTATTCTGCAGTCAAACTGTCAAGTCTTGAAACTACATTTGTTGTCTTGAGTTCAGGGGTAGAAGGGAAAAGAAAGATACCGCTGTTATATAAACACCTGCAGAGATTCTTCAGTGCTACTCAGATCTTCAGGAGACTCCTTTCACCCACTTCTCACCTAGCACATTCCTAGTATAATGCTACTGGAAAGAGGGAAAACTGAATTAATTCCTGGGACATTGTCTCTCACTATTTGGTTCTGTCAAGGAGAAACCTGCTTTAGTAATTTGGGAGTAACTGTAATGCAGGGAGGAGTAGCAGGTCTGTGTTTACAGATTTGAGGACAATCTAGGTGCTGAGGAGATAACTGTGTGTCCCTTGAACAGAAAAGTATGGAGGTTTGCTTTATACTCTGTCCTTTTAAATTCTACTTTTTCCCCCCTTCTTCTATTCAAGAAAATTGTAATTGGGCTTCATATTTTTAAGACCAATCATAGCCATGGGAGTTTTATCATCAGTTGAGGAAACAGGGTCTCTTTGGGGTGTGCTGTGTCACACGCTGTTCTTTGTAACTCAGTTGTTCTCAACAGTGAACTTAGGATGTGGCCACCACTCTTGTCCCTCTCTACAGAGGAAATTGAGGTATGATTGGCTGTTGGTAGGTCCAGGTCACAGTTACCTGTGGAGCAGATGAGTGTGAGCTCCTGCTCAGTATCACTGGGGTAATGAGGGTCCTGCGCAGGCCTCAGACATGAAGGATAACTCCATTTCTTATGTATTATGCTTAGCACAGCACTGCTGGTTACACAGCTTTAAAAAGGCTGAGGTTTCTACACATAGATAGAAATTTTAAATGAGTGACTTAGAGGTGGGTATTGTCAAAGGATACTGAATCGTGGACAGATAGGTGGTAAAAATCAGAAATAGGGAACATAAATTACTTTCCTGGCAGAGTTGTCTTCCACTTGCTAGACCTCCAAGATGGAGCTTCTATAGGTGTCGGTGGTCGTCGACAGGACATTTTCTTTCAGGGTTGTGGGTTAAGTTGTTCAACTGAGCACAAAAACATGCCAGACTCCTCTCCAAAGCTATTTGGGGATGTGAGAAGAGGTGAGAAAATGGGGTATTGAGGCAGCCACTGTGGTGGGTAGCGCAGATCTGTTGAGACTGGGTGTGCTGGGAAATGTCTGCAAGGGCAGAAAGGCAGCTCCTTGGTACATGGACTAGTAGGGCACCCTCTCCACCTCAGACACAGAACTTTAGGCTGTACTGCAGGTGTGTGTGATACTAGAAATGGTGCCTGTGCTCCGTGGTAGCACGTGAAGGCAGAGGACAGTTCATGTTAGCAGATAGTGGAGGTGGAGGTGTTGGTATCTGCCATGGGAATTAAAAACCAGCTCTTGGCCCGTGAAATGTATTGTCTCGGTTTCCTGCACTAAATCTTTGCACAGTTCTTGCTCACTGGGCCACTGTTGGACTGAATTCTGCCATCACCACATAAAATTGTGACACAACTGTAATACATTGTCATTTTCTTGGGAGTTGTTTTCTCTGAGTTGTAACTTGACTTCCTGCATAACATTTCCAGAATAAATTAAGAGCTTTCCTCCGGTTTCAAGTTCATAACTTTTCATTGGGAGGCTACATAAAGCAGGCTCTTAGAAACATGGGAACATCCTGTTTCACATTTGTTGCTTAAAAATCCATTTCCCACAAATTCTTAAGCAGATTGCACTCAGGTCGGGATAGCCGTGTAACTCTTGTTACTTGTCTAAGAAAGAAAGTGGAGCATTGCTAACACAGGGCAGCGAGGAACAGGACTGGACAACAGTGGAAGCTGATGCCCCTCTTCTGTGTGAGAGAATAACATAAAATATGTTTGCAATATATGTAGCTATCTAAATGGATAACAAATTTTATATCTCAGTTCAAGAATTAGAAATTAAAATATTGCTATATGAAAGCACTCTGTGATACCCCCACCCTATACTCTTTCTTCAGCCTTCTTACATTGGGACTGCAAGAAAGCTTCACATATGACTCAGTGTAACTTTTGTAAAGTTAAATAATGGGTCTTGGGGAGTACACCAGGGAAAAACGACTATTATTCATTTTTGACAAATATCTGAAGTTTTATTTTTGGCTTGTCATGCAAAATGTTAAAAGGAGTGGTCAGCCTGATAATGTAGAGAACACTATTTAAGTTGCTTGGATTGAGAGACAATAGTACATTAAACCCAGGAAAGAAAGAGGGAATTGATGCTTTCTCAAAACTCATTGGTTCTACTAATTGTTTTGCTTATTAGGTATATTTCATTGTCATTACAAACCATATTCTGTTGGAGAACATGGAACCATTTCATCATCACTTTGGGGAAAAAATACAGAAGAGATGATTTGTTGAAACTTCAACCATTTTATTCTGATGATTGTGCAAAACAGTGGTACCAATTATCTTTCTCTTCTCTGTTTTTCAGGGTCGACATGTTAAAACAGGTCAGCTGGCAGCCATCAAAGTTATGGATGTCACTGAGGTAAGATTGGGTCATGAATGTATTTAAAGAAACAAATAAAAGACAAGACTCCCCTATCCTTCTGAACCCCATTGTAAGACTATTGTTTTGTTTGAAGAGTTGATCTTGAACAAATGGTCCTCCTGTGACATTGTGGGTTCATAAGGACTAGCAGACTGTTGGCTTAAATTGTTGCAGATGGTCCCCAAGTAACTAAGAATCAGTAGCATTTTCTTTACATTCTCCCCTTCTACCTCTCCATCTGAGTGATGTCATCCTTGGCAGCATAATGGGCTATAATTGGAAACATCTTCTCTAATGGAAAAGAAAAGATTTGAGAGAGATCATGGAGGTCACATGAATAGGGAGGCTGAGGAGTGTGGGGGTGGGGAAAAGCTTCTCTAGGGTATTAGGCCACACTTGGGCCATTTCTTTTATTTTTAACATGAGGAAAGAAAGTAGATCCAGCCAAGTTCCCAGAAGTTTGAAAACAGAAACATCTGCTACAATGCTGAGCAGATTGTTGGCAAAATTTAGTAGCAAAAAATAGTTCCTGAAATGGTCACATGAGGATTTACTGTGTAACTTTAGATGGGAGAGAGGAGAAATTAACTCAGACAATATTAGTGACTGTAGCTGTGTATGTGCTTGTACATGTGCATTGCATGAGAGTCCGTATTCAGTTTTTAAGATATAGTCATGAATTACGTGAACTAAATCCATATTATTTCAAATTATTTTCATCAGGAATTTTATTTTACACTCATGATTGCTTCTAACTTGTGTAATTATGAGTAAGATTTACCTAGATTGAGAAACCTAGAGAGGTGTCCTCTTCTGCTGCTGCTTCTTTACTATGCATGCTTACAAAATTAAAGAATATTTGTCTCTGGACCACATGTAAACTGATAGAGCTTTATGCAAATATTTGACATAAGACATTTAAAGAGGTCACTGCTTGCTTGTCTTTGGAGGTGTTATAATGAATAAATTAACTATTTAGGTTGGTTGGATGGTCAGAAGATTGTTTTACCAAACTGTGGTAAGAATTTTGTCGTATTGTAGTGGGCCTAGCTTGGTGTATAATTCAGTAAGAAATTGGATGTTTCCAGTTAAATTTTTTTAATTTTTTTTTATTTATGCATACAGAACTGGGGTACAGGCCAGAGGTGCAGGGATGGTGAGAGGATTCACCAGAGACAGAGTGGGGAGCAGAACAGGCTGACTGATGAAGTACACTTCTGAGGGGAGAGGGGGCAGGTCAGGAGAGGTCTGCTGTGCCATATGGGTCACCTCCGAGGCCAGGGATTGAACTCGTGCTGAAATGGCTTTAGCTTCTTAGTGCTGCATTTACCTACTGCACCACCAGGAGGGCCCCCAGTTAAATATTTTTAAGATTATTTTAAAAAGTGATGAAGGGGGCCTTCCCTGGTGGCACAGCAGGTTAAAGGACTGCACTAAGAAGCTAAAGCCACTTCCGCATGAGTTCGATCCCTGCCTGCCCCGGAGGTGACCCACATGGCGCAGCAGACCTCTCCTGACCCTCCCGCTGCTCCCTTCAGCAGTGTACTTTGTTGATCTGCCTGTTCTCTCCCTGCTGTCTCTGGTGAATCCTCTCACCCTCTGCATCTCTGGCCTGTACCCCAGTTTTGTATGAATAAATAAATAAATCTTAATAAAAAAAAAAAGTGGTGAAGGTCCAACAACCTAACTTACTATAATTTAAGTACAATGGCCAAGCTATTTATGAAGTGATCTTTGACACCTGGAACATTGTGCCTTTGCCTACCCAGAACACGAATGATCTTTCAGCTCTTGTAAAGTGTAAGTTTGGCCTTGATAAGGGACCTGGGAACAAGAGGGAGACTTAATAGCTGATGTTTTCTTGGTTTACTTCCAGCATCAAGGTTCTGTTCAAGAGGGCAGGGTTCTGCCTGGTTCTGACCTTAGTTGTATCTCAGGAGCAAAATGGTGTGGATGCTTATTTTTAGGAAAAATCACAGACCTGTTGTTAGGTTACTAGTCATTCCTCAGGCTCAGAAGGCCAGAAGAGCAGGAGGTGTGGAGAGGTAAATAGTGTGCCAGCCCTTCTCCCCAGCCATCAGTTGATAACCCTGAATGAATGTCCTCTCGGATGGCTGCCCTGAGTCCGTTGCATTATTTGCTTATGTGGCCTTGTAAAACAGAGTCAGCTGAGAATTCAGGTTTCACCCTGGGATAAAGTGACTCAGGGACTATGTAGAAAAGGAGTCTGGAAAGGAGGCATTTTTTTCTTTATTATTATTTTTAAAATTAAAGTGCCATTGGTTTATATTCTTGGTGTTTGGGAAGTATAGGCTCTCCCCTCTCCCCCCATGTAGTCGCTGCATCACACCCACTACCCACCATGTACACTGAGGTACCCATAGTCCTCCACCACAGTTTGCTGTGCTGCCCCCTCCTCTTGTTCTCACCTCTCTGGCTCCTTCAGTTCTTTAGTCAGCTTTAAAGGACTGCTTCAGTTTGTCTTTGTCTGACCCCTTGTCAGACAAAGAGAAACCAGCCAGCATTTATCTTTTTCCTTCAGGCTTATTTTGCTTAGCGTAATAATCCCTTAGAGATCCATCCTTTTTGCTACAAATGGTGTGAGTTTATCTTTTTTGATATTGACTTAGTTTTCTGTTGTGTATATATACCATGTCTTCTTGATTCACTATTCTGATTTGGATGCTTAGGTTGTTTCTATAGTTGGGCTATAGTAAACAGTGGCACAATAAATTTGGGAATGCAGGTTTCCTTTCGAATTAGTGTGTTTGTACATTTTGGATAGATAACCTAGAAGTGGAATTTTTTGAGAAACTTCCAAACACCTTTCTATCCAGGCTGGATGGACCACACTACATTTGTGCCATCAGGTTAAGAGAGCTTTTTCTCCATACTCGTGTTTCTGGCCTTTTTGATATGGGCCATTCTCACTTGTGTGAGATGGAATCTTATTGTGGTTTCAGCTTGGATTTTCCTGAAGGGAGGCATTTATTTGCAAGGGTTAAAAGGATCTCTTATATTTCTTTTATGACTTAAACAATTTTCAGAATTGCTTAACTTTTTTTTTGAATTGCTTAACTTTTAAAAAGTGCTATTTTTAAAGAAAGCTTATCATTTTATCTGATTGGTGTAGGGGGGTTAAGGAGCAGGTTAAAGTTATTTTCAAATTGGACAGCTGTTTTTGAAATAATTATAGATTCACAAGCATTTTTAGAAAAGCAGAGGGTCGCATGCACCCTATACCCATTTTCTTCCAGTGGTTAGCATCTTGCATAACTGTAGTACAATGTCATAACTGAGGTCTGTGCACAACACAAAGCAAGGCAAGTTACTGATTTATGAACCCAGAGATTAGGCCTAAGCTCCAAACTGATTTTATTTTATTTTTAAAATTTATTTATTTATCCATACAGAACTGGGGTACAGGCTAGAGGTACAGAGGTGGTGAGGGGATTCACCAGAGACAGAGTGGGGAGCAGAACAGGCAGATCGACGCAGTACACTGCTGAGGGGAGCAGCGGGCAGGTCAGGAGAGGTCTGCCTCGCCATGTAGTCACCTCTGGGGCAGGGGGGAATTGAACTTATGTGGAAGTGGCTTTAGGCTTTCAGTGCTGTGCTTTAACCCGCTGTGCCATCAGGGGGTTTTAAAAAATACAGTAATAATAACCAGCAGTTTGTGCTAAATTTGACCATGGGAACTGTTACAGACGAACTTTTGTAGCCCCTTGAGATGATCCCATTACTTTTTGTGTATTTCTTTGTTTGCTGGTACAAAAAGATGTTTGAAGTTCACTTGCCAAAATGTAGAATCTCTATATCTGAAGAGCCTTGGTTTCTTTTAGTGGGAAAATTATTTAGAAATGGATATTTGAGTGCTGAGTGTGCCCACTTGATGCTGGAGTGTTGTTATTATTAGGGTATAGAATATGGTAAAATTTCCCCCAAAATCAGTTTTTCTTTAATTTCTTTTATTTTTAACTTTTCTTTAATTCACCTAGAGTGAAAATCTTGATTCCTACCAAAATATTGACATACTTGTGCTATCCTTCGGTAACCATGAAGCAATTTCAGCAATATAGTAGCACTATGATATAGTAGACATGGGGTGAAGTTTAAGATTTTTCTGAAGCTCACTTTGTCGTCAAAATAATATGTTAAAGGTTTACAAACAGAGAATTAAAAAATTACTTGAAATAATTCTTTTCTCTGTATAGTTTATCAGTTTGATGCTCACCTAAGTTCAGTTTCTATTTTGATTCACTTACAGGGTTTAATTCCTGAATGTGTAAATCGCTTACACACTTGGGCAACTCAAAACTATGTAAAAAGGTCATGCATTTTGAAAAACAGTTTTTGAAATTATAGGCTAGGTCATCTGATAACAGCCCACCTTATGCCCAAGTGTTTTCAGGAAGTTTCATTGCCCTTATGTGCTTGGTACTGCTCTGGGCAACGTAATACTAAACACCACTGGGAGTGATGCTGAAACTGAAAATGTGGTGTTTTATGTCTTTTGGAGAAAAAATGGTGCTCTTTGGCACATAGCTTTGGGCCAGAATTTGTCCTCATTGAGTGGGAAAGCTGCATCTAGTCCAGTCTTTTGGCTGGACTGATGACCTATCTTCCATTCAGCCTTTTGGCACAGGATGAAATTGAAGTATTAGATTCTGCTGCAGCTGCAACACTTGGAACTTCCCCAAATTCCATCCCAAACTACTGTATCAGAAATTCTGGTTTGGGGCCCACCAGTCTGGGTTTTAAAGCTCTCTAGGAGATTTTGATGCACCCATAAGTTTGAAAACTCTTACTTCAGTGGAAAGAAGGCATGCTTTCATTATCTGCAGAATTCTAGCTCAGACAGTGGTGCTTCTTGTTCAGGAATATATTGATATTTAAATTTAAGAAATTAGAATCCAGGTTTTTGATTCCCAGTTTCAAATTATCAATGTCAACCATTGAATTCTAAGTAGGCTTGTTGAAAGAGCTGTTTTGATATG